CAGCTTTTGTCTCACCAGTCCACTGAATATTTTCCAAAAACGTTAAGATGCTTCTTGGAAAATGTGAGATAAGCCTTTGCGTTCTTTTTGGTCATGGATGCACTTTTTACCCGTACTCTTTCCTAATGCTGACTCATCTTGATGCATTCTCAATCATCCAGGTAAGTAAAACCCCAAAAACCTGATTCTGTTCATCTACGTCCAGATGAACAGAATCAACTTTTTGGGGGTTAATGCTGACTCGTGAATGCTGACCTCAACTAAGGCATGTGAGTCCTGCAGTTCTTTACATGTTCTGGATTGTTTTGTGACCTTTAAGTGATTTTTTGACTCACCAGGTCTGACAGTAAACAGGCCCGGGTGTGGCTAGTAAACCTGAACTCAGCTTTCCAAAAAATGTGGTTAAGCACAGTTAATTCATAACTTTACAAGGAAGGCAATTACTTAAACCTACATCACAGATTGTGTAGGTTTTTCCTTAAGGGGAAGGTGTGTAAAATCTGACCATTAAATGTCAGTAGCTTGCACAGTTTTGTTTTCTTACCTCTCCCAGTTCAAGCACAAAATCCTGACTCCAGTGGCCACTCAAGAGTTGTTTGTAGGACAAACAACTCTTGAGTGTCGTTCGTCTGTAGTGAGTGTAGGCTGTCAGTATGCTGTTTACCTCGGTTTGTCCACATCTACTTACTCTGTAAGAGGCTGTAAAAGTTCATAAAAGGAGTCTAGTATGAGTCAGAGAAGCTCGCTGTCCGATGACAATGATAAAAAGGTAAAATGTTAAGGAAATGCTACGCGGTAATCGCTGCTTATTTTTTTAACACTCACGTGTTAGAGCCCTGACTTCAGCTCAGGAGCTGAGGCTTGCGGTAAGGAGGAGGAAGAGGATAACATTTTATTAAGATGTTTTTATTTCTTTGGTGAAAGGTTCCTCTTCTCAGAAATATAAAGATAAAGAATAGATATTAAGTTTTATATCTTGAAGGTGCAGGCATGAATTAAAGGAGAGCCATATCTCCATTAGGAGACCATAATTTACCAAATCAGCATCATGTTGCCTTGGTAAGACTTAAAAGTAATGACAGAGCACCCCATCCCCCACCACCCCTGCCAAAAAAAAATCAGGAAATATTAAAGGTAGCTGAGATTTAATTGTCCCTCAGATTTTTACAGTCACAGCCTTTTGATTCAAAATCTAGAGGAGTGGACCTTTGCTGTTCAAAACACTAATTCACTTTTCAGGCCTTGAAGCAAAACCCACATATAAAGTTTATTATTTAAAGGGACTTAAAATAAACTGAAGCTGGACACCAAGAGTGCTTTTTATACAGCATAAGAACTGAATAGGATTTTAATTAATTTACAACAACAGCATTTGTAAAACCAAATAAGATTAACAGTATTTAATAAGTACATGTCTTCATATTATGTTTCGTACATAAATTGCACTAGATTCAAGATCCAAAATATGTTTCCCAAGAATATTGAAACATCTCCTCCAGGTATGTTGAGATATTTAAAAAAATACATGATGGTTCTTGCACAGAAAAAGTTCAGTGACTTTATAAAAACTCCTTAAACAGAATTTGCAATATGCAATATTATTGTTCTTTGCAGAAGTGTAACAGAGATGTCCCTTTATTCAATCCAGACCCAGCTCTCTGGAGCGTTTTCGCATCACACTTGTTTCAGCTGTTTATGGCTGCCTTCCTGACAAGCTGTCACATCATCCTGTCCAAACAACTAAGACTGTAAGTAAGAGCAGAGAAGGAGATTAATGTGAAAACAGTCTTTTACTTTCAAACGGCGCAGTGAGGCTCAAACGACAACGAGAAGCAGCGTGTTTTTCACTGTGGAGGAACTCTAAAGAGCTACACGTCAGAGTTTTGCAGCAGAACGAGTGTTTGAAGTCATTCGAAGTCATCACTACTTCAGTCGAGCGATACGACCTGAAAGCCATCGTCTTCTTCCCTTCCTCTCGCTAAATCCTGGTCTCCTTGACGACTGCTCTTGCCCATCCTGAGCTTGTCCCTCCAGTTGCTACTTCTGCCAAAGGTAGGGGG